CCTCTCTTCCTTTCTCCTGAGTGAGCACCTCTAGGATGATGGCAGCTGCCAAATGAGTTATCCTGTAAAACCCTGTGCTAGTGGCCTGTCTCTTTTTAAATTTCCAGAGAGTGTAAATACCTCTTTTAAGTCACTTTCTTTGTATGGTTATTTTTTTAAAACTTCCTATTCAAGCAGATGTGCCAGATAAGTCAGAGCTCTCCTCCAGGAATGCCTGGGTAGCACCACCATTTCCTTCCCACTGCATCCCTATTTGAGATTTCCTCTGGCTCTTTGCCCTTGCAGGTTGGAGTGGGTAAACTGACCTTTTCCACTAGGGTTACTTTGACAATCTGAAGGGTCATGGGGAGAATGGGATGGGATTTAGGGGTTCGTATTTCCTTCCCATCACCACAGGGTGTCACTCAGTCCCTACCACCGCTGGCCCCTATTCCTGCAGGGAGGGCAAGAGAGGGAGGGAGGGGATTCTGGAGGAGCTGCCTGAAGAAATGCTTATGAGTCAGGTCAGTGTTTCCTAATCCCAATTTTGTGAGCTGGGTCAGAGTTTCCCAGTCTTGACCTCTGCATCCCTAGGGAAGCGCAGCACAGGGAATCCACACCCCTCTTGTCTTTTCTCTGTGGTTAGTGTAGCCTTGTAGGAAACAGAGTGTGGTGTGATGAGTTTAAAGGGATGTGTGTGTTACAGCTGCCTGGGATTAGAATGCTTCTCTCAGAAACCTGTATAATATCTCTACTTCTTGCCTTTAGAGAATAAATAACTCTGTACTCACTGAATGTCATCCTGATGCTAGGGACAAACTCGCACACCACCTTGTTTAAGAAGTATACAGATAGCTAACTACATCATCCAGAATAAGCAAACAGAAAATAATGAATGCTAGTAAAACAGAAAAGAACTGTCTTAAAATTATTGTATGCATTGGAGTCATTCTTCCATGTAGCAGTGGATATCTTAGAGCATATTGTCATCAAATGCAACGAACTGGGGTGTAATAATTCAGCGTAGTACTGTAGGCTCTCACAAGCCCCTCAAGATGTATGTGTAAAGCACAAGAAAATCTAGATTATAAACTTACTGTAAGGAACTAGGTGGAAAAGTTAGAGTGAAGATTCTGGAAAGCACTTGCAAACTGCTCAGGAAAATAATTTCAAAAATTGTTCTAAAATTTCTGTCTATTTAGTTGTATAGTGCCATGTAAATTTATTAACAGAGAAGCACTACTTCATTTGACTGTTATATGCCAGACTGTGTGGAAATTCAAGGTCTTAAATATATCTGAGTCTGAGTTTCTCAAAGAGAAGTGCAAATACAAAGTGTGCTGTGCATTGGAACTCTCGGGATTGTTGCACCAGGGGATTTCCCTCCTCACCAGCTCTTCTTGTTTTTTCTAGTGGAATGAGCTGGAGCAGAGAATAAAATAGTATTATGAACATCTTACTTGTTCCTGTGAAATAAAATCTGAAGTGGGTTATTTGTATAGGGCAGGTGACTGGCAAACCACCCTCATGGAAAGGGATGGGATAGAAGTTCTAGCTTGGGATTGCTCTACATGGTTAGTCTGATTGGCAAAGGACTCTACTGGAACTAGGTCACACATCTAATTTATGCTTTAACAGCTACTTTTATACATTTAATTCAGGCTGATTTGTGTCTCTGATCACAGGAGTCTTTTGGAACACAGTACAATTTTGCTTGGTACTCTAATTAACACTTAGCACAATGTAGTGCCAGTAATAATGTTTTTCGGTGCTTATTAATTTGATTCATGCAGTACTCCTGTGAGGTTGGTTTGTCATGTCTCAAAAGCACTGTTTTCTAAAGAGATGTTGGTATTGCTGTAACTGTATTAATAGTACCCAGCAGATAATAAAGGCAGCCCTTGATTTCCTGGCAAGAATAACTTTAAAACAAATTATTTTAACCCTGAGAAAGTACTGTTACCATTTTCTCATTCATGGTGTCTTGGTTTATCTTTAAATGAGAAGACTCAATAGTGCTAGATTTCAAATCTCTTGATCTAAAATCCTGATATGTGTGTATTCAGAAAAAAGTTGCTTCTATGCACAAGTGCTAGTCACACATGCATGCACACACACATGCAGTGTTTTTACATGTTTTAATTAAATTTATTAGTAAAGACTTTGGGCAAGTTATTTAACCTGTACATGCCCCAGGTTCCCCACCTATAAAATGGGGCTGGTATTAATTACCTGCCTCACAGGGATATTGTGAGGCTAAATTAATTACTATTAGTTCAGGATCATCACAGTTAAAGAATTTTGCGAGCATAAAGTATTAATGGTTTCACTTTCTTTTTTTTTACTTGTAATTATTGCCTTTCTTAAAAGTGGTCTACTGAAACCAGCTGCAATTATGTATAAATGAAAAAAAAATGCATAATCCAAAAAAGGTGCATCAGTGGATCAGTAGTAAAAAAAAAAAAAAAAAAAAAAAAAA